TTACTCGTGGTAAATCCAACCACTTCATACACGCTACTACTCATATCACATCATTGTTTTCAGGCATGTTACCCAAATATTCCACAAATGGATGCAATTCTTAACCGAAACACATCTGTCTGTCACAAGCTTTACCATCAGAAGTGGAAAAATTAGATACCAGTAAGGACAGTGCCACAGTTTGTATGCACCGGCGTGCAGTGTGAGTGGTTCACCGTAACCTAATTTCCAGCGTGCAACACGGTTGTGCTCTTGCACGAAGCCGTTTAGGCATAAAATGTACTTGCAGATAATACAGACTTCGTGCAAGAGCACAACCGTGTTGCACGCTGGAAATTAGGTCACGTTAAGATGCGGCGTTAGTACGGAGGAGTGCACCAGAACTTTGCTGCCAACTTAGGAAAATGGAGTTGTGGCAGAATAGTCTACATGGCTCACATTTTCAATTTAAACTATCGCTAAAGATTTAGTAGTTTACGATTCATGACTCTTAAAATTACACCTCACTGTAATAAATGACAAACTGTCTGGACGACTCTCAGAAGTCCTTCTCAACTCGCTTCGTTCTTCGCTAAACACATTTGACAAAACCTCCATACCTCACACTTCTTAAAATTGTCGCCACCAGTTTGCCTGTTATGTCGAACTGTCCTTTTCAACTGCGGATTGCATTCATGCCAAAAATGTGCACGAGAACCATGCAGCCGAAGTAAGAAAAACAGACTTGTAACAAGTAGGTAGTGAATCCCATGTGTTGCCATTCACCGCCTTCACTTTAGAAGCTAAATCATTTCCACTGATGCTGTTCGGCACTGCCAACTTTTCTGCAGCAGATGTGGAAGGAAAAGAGGAGAATGGTCTTCCAGGCAAGTAGGTATTTGTCCATTTCCACGCATTGTCCATTCTGCAGGCGCAGTGTTGGTGCGGTCTCGGTGTATCGAATTTACCAGCGTTTCCGCATCATTTGCGACCGTGAAATGGAACCAGACTAGCATAACTACTGCAATCGGTAGTCGCTTAACACACTGTGATGTAGAGTTATGGACGCCCAATAGCATGGTTGGATGAAATCAATCGGGCTCCTGTCAGGTGTGAGCTTACTGCAAATCCCGTGCCTACACACGCCGTAGTATGGGTGTGTCGACAGACAGAACAATGCCGCCTATAACAATGGCCATGCATACACAGCGAAACGTGGTTTTGAGTTTGCTTCAAAAGAAATGCAAATTGTCATGCCACATCCCATCGCATCGCGTCGCATTAGAGAATAACGCGGTGGGTTGAGACAATGAAGATGACGTGAAATGCACCACCTGCCTTAATACAGGTCTAGCTTTGCAGGCGATAGTAGGTGCAAATGGGTCATGATTGTGGTAGCACTAAGAGGCAACACACCTATGTCTCACAAACTCATTTGACAATATCAGTACTGGCCGTTCATCTTTCCGTAAACTGCAGACGCAATTTGGTGGAAACCACACCTACGATTTGGGCAAATTCGGGTTGAATCTGCTTCTGACGACACAGAAGTGCACACAGCGCACAATTTGTCCTTCACCAAAACTGAACGTGTGCTGTTTGCAGACCTACGAAATCTTGGCTGGAAGTGGTAAAGGAGCCACAAATGAATGTGCACACTCCACTCACTGATACCGGTTTCTCAACCAAAGAGAGAACAGTTCCACATTGGTGTGGGCTTCTGTGGATTCCTTACACGCAATAGCTAACGTCAAGGTGGCAAAAATGTCAACTTGCAGTTTTGGCCTGACTCCACGTTGCATTGGTTGATGTTGCCGCCTTGTGCACACTGGTGATAAGAGGCTTGGGAGTCGGATGTGGAATGGCCTACACGGCCCATCAGGTCATGCGTGCAGTGCACTCATGCAGAAGTGAATTTGTGGGTAAAGGACATGATATCGCATAGGCTGACGTGTTGGAAAGCAGTGGTATAAATGCATTGGCAGTTGGAAAGCAACACATTTCTGCAGTGAGCATGGCGTTTCACTTCTGCGTACTTCTGATGGCGCTCCCCGTTCTGGCTGGGCAAGGCGCAGTTGCACGGTGTAAGTTGGTATTTTATAATTGTTTCTCAACAGCGAGTGGGAGTTAGCGTTTGGCATACAGTAGCATTGGTTACACCGACTCATTTCTTCCATTGCTTTCACCTTCCGCATCAACGCAAGCTGTAGTTAGTTCCATACTACTGCATTTTCTCGCATTGTGTCCCTTACATATTTCCACACTACTTCCTGCTGACTTTGGCTAGAGCGTTTAAGAGGTGCCTGCTACCACGTCACAGTCGCATCAAATCAACGATTCTCAGTCGAATCATTGACTCCCTACTCCACACTGTGTTCTGCTCCTATCACATTTCCTGTCGATTTGAAAGATGCCTTCCAAATGACATCCAAGCTGGTGAATATGTGCTCACACACAAGCGTAGACATGCAAAGATTAGAAGACTGGATGGTTTGCTCATTATTTTATTCAACAATGCATCACTGCACCGCAATCCTACCCATTAATGAAACCAAGTGACATGACTGTGCACAATTTGTGCACCTTGTGG